AATGCCCCTCAGTAGTAATCGAAACTTACAGCTATGGCTGCTTCAGTCAGAATAGGGGACTTTGTTATATTTCTCCCCAGCTCTGTGATGCGCAACTTGGTACCGCTGCACAAGCTCGGTCCATCAAGGCTAAACATCAACAGAACTGGGATGGCAACTTTTAAGTCTAGCCTATGTGAAGGCCCATTCGTTTGGGCAGTTCGAGTTAAGGAACGATGACCTCGCAGTTTACTAATCTTCATTTAAAATATTGTTAATTCAATACGGGTTGCAATAAGTTCTTCATGTGCCGCTACGGATGGCATAGTTTAAATATTACGTCACATGTAGTTTTTTCAATTCGCACACAGAGACAGTGGTGAAGTCTTGAACATACGTTTATTTCACTCCCCAGTACTTATGCCTATCATAATAACTAACAGTTTTTATCTATAGAGACCTGCGAGTAAAACAACAACTTCACCCATTGGGGCCTGGTTGCTGCGGATATTCTGCAAGCTGCGGTTTAAGATAAATACCACGCGTCTGCGCGACATCGTGCAGTCATCCCACATGATCAACTTTCACTGTTGCAAGAGAGTACCGCGGCCGCTACTCTTCCTGACCTAGGCTAGGTGTAGATGTACAATAGATAAATAGAAGTTTTGAAGGAACATCCTCACTAACATCTGTGTCATATAATGAATACGTCAGATGTTACCGACAAGTGGAAATTGAAAAAATCTCATTTAAAATGTACCAAAAACAAGCTTCGCTTTTATGTTTATTTTGGGAACTTCAGTTACTTCCAGGTCTAGGCTAGATGTTGCACGATGGCGTTTATTCGCTTGTCAAGGCTATATAGCAGTTCTTGTTGTGATAATTTGTACGTACCCTCCGGTGAGTCAAAAAAGAAGAACACCCGCCGGTGCCTATAATAAACATGTCTGGTTAAAGCTTCAAAGTTTATATGCGAAAACGCAGGAATATTTAATTAAATACGGAGAGGAAGGAATTAAGTCATGTAATTCGTACGCTCACCCTCCGAAACACACATGTGTTCGATACTAGTAAGTTTCGATACGAGTTTTAAACATATTTGTGTCACCGATAAGCCTCTTTGCACACCTTTCACATTAGTAACGATTTGGATAAAATGTGCCCCTTAGCTTAAATTGTTACCAAAATTATGTTTAATTTGGAAAATTCTAATAATTAAAAAAATATCGTAACTAATACAATTATCTCCTACATTCAGCGACAAAATAAAATATATATTAGTAATTTCTTTTGAGGTCGGTATACTACAAATGGTTTGATTGGATCGGTTTTGCGCGGAGTGATTAGCGATGCGAACAGGCAGGTGGAGTCCTCGGCTGGGCGGATGGTCACCGCGGACATTTCCCAGAGCGTGGAATGCTTGTTCCCATCGGATCGGTAATGATCGCCCTAAATCGCGCGCCGCTTTATCGATACCGCCAATAAATACGCAGACGATTTGCATTAAAACATTTTCGCTCGGACAATTTTTTTTTCATTTTGTTTGTTTTTCGAATTATGTGTTGTATGCTAAGTAGGGCTTTTGAATTTAAATAAATAAAAAATTCTTGGGGATTGACAATGCTTAATCGAGCAGTCAGAGTTGCGGGATCGTGGGTACTACATTGAAATCTCGTGTAAAGCTTGCAAAAAATTATGGTAATTTTATTCCATAATTTTATATTGATGCATTTTATTTTTGATATTTTTGCCCTACCAAAATCTATTTTAAGGCTTTTTTTAATCCACGATTTTTTTTAGTAAAGCATTTCCCAAGTAATATTTTTAAAACGTTACACCCATACTAAGATTATCTCTGCATTGTGGAGACAGTTCACATACCTAAACCTAAATTGCACAAGTTCAAAAGTCGGTACAATTAATTGTAGGTTTGTAGGCCTTATCGGGGGGCACGGCAGTGCCCCCGCCAAGTCGAGCGCGAAGCAAACACTGCCGTACCATCCTTTACTGGAACCGTTTCGCCGCATTTTCAGGCCTCTATTTGAGAACCTCCGGATAAGACCAGAACGCAGAAATTTTCGTCATCCAGTAAGCTATAATCACATACTTAAAATTTAAAATTTCAAGTCTATAGGTCATTTAGTTCCGAAGTTAAGCGAAAGCAAAGTTTCGCATTTATGACACTCACTCACTCATGATCATCAGAATAGAACTAGTACTTCCCATAAACTCAGAGAGCTGAAATTTGGTACAGAGTTAGGGTTTAATGGCCACATAAAGGGAAAACTATAAAAACTAGGATAATCGAAGATCTGGAGTACCTGGGGACCCTGATTGGGAAACACAAGAGCCCAACCAAACTATTAGAAGAGATCGACATACCGCCTTTACAAAAAATATTCAACTTGGTGGGCCGCTTCATTTGATGTCAAAAATCTAAGTTCTGAAGTATCCTCAGCAGATCTCAGATGTATTAGAGATATGGTAATGCCTCCTTCTACTATTGGTACATAAAAAAAATACGTGTACAGAGAACAATTCCCAATCTGTGTGGCGTATGCCCTAACAATTCATAAGAGCCAAGGTCTAAGTCTAAAAATGCCCTCATGGACATTGGCACCTCCATATTCTCTTGTGGCCAAGCCTATGTGGCGCTTTCACGAGTAACCAATCTTCATGGGGTGCACCTCATAAATGTTGACTTCAAGAGTATAAAAGCTCAAGCTTCAGCGATCACCGAATACACCGGCTTAGGCGTAAATACCGCGCCGATCTTTCAGAAATTAAACCGTATAAACCGTCTAAAAGAATAAATAATGAACGCGAACGGGCAATACGAAAAACTGTTGCTACTGTACAAGAATCAGAACCGGAAAAAAAGAAAAGAAAGATTTGTAATAATAAAAAAACTACTCCTAAAAAAATGTGTCAAATAAGAAAATCTAATAAAATAAATCATAATATGCCCACGTTTCTACAAAAAGCAGTGAAATCCCACCAAAAACATTCTGTAAAAAAACTAGCCAAGTCTCGATGGAGCTGCTTGTTTATCTCTAAAAAGTAATGAAATCTAGACAAAGTCGTGCCAAGTCTAAGGTTCCTTACTGCGATTTCTTTATTATTATAGTTATTGTTGTGTGACTTGGCCGTTGTAGGGAACACAACGGTACAAAACCAGGTGCTATATTGCATACACACCATTGCACCAATCTGTCGCCAGAACCACTACCCATTGACGATGGAAAATTGCCACTTGGAAAACGTTGATTGAATAACCAGTCAATTGTAGGCTTGATAAAGCTGCGTATTTCAATAATACTTTTGTATAGGCGAGCCTGAAACAAACAGTATAAAAAATTATTTCCAGTACAGGCGGACTTCTAATCATTGATAGAAGTCCGTCTGTACGTCTATTTTATGTTAGATCGGTGGTCGATTTGACGCTCGACAAAGAAGAGAGTAGAAGTCAGCATTGTGAATGCTGAATGCATGTGTTGCATAATCAACAACCGCCTAAAATGAGACACTAGCGTCCAATTACCAATACCACTATGGGCTATTATCTCGCTTAACAAACATAAGTAGTTACAACAGATATAACATTACGTGTAAACACAATTACGTGCAACATTACGTGTAAACGTAACTTTATCAAGCTTACAATTGACTGGTTATTCAATCAACGTTTTCCAAGAAGCACTTTTCCATCGTCAATGGGTAGCGGTTCTGGCGACAGATTGGTGCAATGGTGTCATGTAGCGCCTGGTTTTGTACCCTGTGTACCCTTCAACGGCCAAGTCACACAACATTAACTATAATAATAAAGAAATCGCAGTAAGGAACCTTAGACTTGGCACGACTTTGTCTAGATTTCATTACTTTTTAGAGATAAACAAGCAGCTCCATCGAGACTTGGCTAGTTTTTTTACAGAATGTTTTTGGTGGGATAATTACTTGTCCGTGCGGGATTCGGAACCGCGGCCCTCAGCGTCGCAACTCGATGCTTGCGTGCCACTGCACCACGGAGCCGATAAAGTCGGGAAATGATACTAAATATGTAAATGCTAGAACTAAGGTTAATCTGATGCCTCCAATAACAAAGAGCGACCGTAGAGCCATGCTGCAGCTGTATTAATAGTATAGTTATAGCACGAATGGGTCGGCTCGACCGGAGAAGGAACACACTCTCACAGAATACCCGCGACCCTTTTCACTGGAAAAGAGGCATTCTATCTTAGTCCTCACGGGTGGCAACGTATCTGCATTTTGATTCTTTATTGAGGATAGATGTCACAGCAACCGCTTACCATCAGGTGGACTGTGTGCTCGCTTGTCACCGTATCCTATAAAAAAATATATTAATATTGTTAACAATAAGACTTTTTTTAACTATTATAAGCGAGTGCTAGACGTGGGATCGTCTATGTAATGGTAAGTAATGATGAAGCCAAAAACAAAGCCCTATAAAGACAAAACCTATTCACTCTAGTTTTGCAGATACCCACATTGCATTGTAACGAGATAGAAAGGCAGATGCCGGCAAATTATAACACTATGCTTTGCAGTACGCATGTCGAACGACGAACACTGGTACTTTTAACTTCACTGGTACTAATGCTGCTGCCAGTGGACACCTATCACCAAATTCTAAAAAAAACTTGGGGGTAAGAGTACCCATCACCCTTTTTTGAGTGGTAACTGTAAAGTCAAAGAGACGGGCTTATATGAATCATCATCATCATCATCATTACAGCTCTTCACAAGTCCACGGCTGAACATAGGCCATCCCCAAGGAATGTCACAAAACACGGTTCTGAGCCACCTGCATCCATCGACTTCCTGCGTGTCTTAACAGGTCATCACTCCATCTAGTGTGGGACGACCTGGCCTTATACGAATAAGGGAATTGTTTGTTTTGCGATATATTTTTTTTTTTGTAATTATATTCAAAGCTACAGCTACCAAGATGACATCAAATAAACGTAATAAACTAATTTAAATTTAAACAGTCTGTATTACAGAGCGAATATCGGTTTGCTGGCGGGGGATATCCGCGCGTGACCACTAGCAGCGCTAGCAGTAGCGGAGGACTGTGTTCTGCAGCGCTGGTGGTAGGTGCATTGCTGGCGGCGGTGGCGGTGCTCGCAGTCGCCGGCCTTGCTTTCTACATGGGTGCTCTGAGGCCTGACAATGGCGAACGTACGTTACTTTTTCTGCATATTATATAACAAAAAGTTTGCTTAATTACATTATTTTTTAAAGTTACATTAACGATATTTTGTGGAACATACCTCTAATGGAGAACCAAGATATGTTATTGTGTTGTTTCATATTATTTGTTCGAATACTATTCCTTCTTGATTTTTCTATTATTTGAAATCACTACCACCAAAGCACGTACATGCTATTACATCATTAGCACTTATAACTTAGCCATTTATAATGATTTCTTATATTTACGCGAACACTACACATTGAATGAAACTACTTTTACGGATTTTATCGCGTTTAGTTAACTTATTTTTCATTTGGTCCCCCGGGACCACGGTTGCTGGAAAGCAACCGAAACGTCGGGAAAATAAAATAAGTTAATTAAACGCGATAAAATCCGTAAAAGTAGTTTCATTCAATTATCCATTTATTTTCAGCTATAATAACATTTGAGGGTAATTTTCGTGTCATGCGAGGCGATGTGTATGGTGGAGTTCCCGGCAGTCCTGCATGGAATGAGCGCGCGCGACGGTATAGCGTAGCGTTGAGGCAAGCATTCAATGCGCCTTCGCCACTTCGGCAGGCTTTTGTTGGAGCCATCGTCACTGGCTTCGGTGATCGCAAACTAGATGTTCATTTCAAATTATACCTGGACAGGAGAAAAATTCCAAGGTAAAATTATAAATAGAATGCCATAAAAACGTTTCTTTATAGAAGTTTATACAGGTGGCACTACAACTCGAAACTGGCTCGACCGATTCTGATGAAATTTTTTGTTTGTGTCTGAATGGGTCCCAGGATAGTTGAGTTAGTTAGTTTCACAATTGGACCCGTTAGGTGGCGCTGTTGTCGAGATCCAGAAATCACCCGTGCGAAGCCAGGGCGGATTGTTAGCCTCACATAAAAATCAATAGAATACGTTCAATAGTTTATCCACAGGAAATTTGTTTCGTTTAAGTAATTTCTGCACATGATGTATACAGGTTATTTTGCAATAACCGGCCAAATTTGCAAAGATGGTTCAGAATCTAATAAATAAACTGATATAGGTTTGCAGTTGTGGGCGCATCACGGATAAACTAGATAGATTTCAATTAGGTTTTGTTTCTTAGACACTTGGACCTTATCTAATAAATATTGCGATATCTTCATTTAATATGAAGTTATTAAAGTTTTAAGAAATAACAATTTTTATAAGCACTTCGTGTTCAGTGAACATTATATGTATTGAATAACATTGTTTACAAAAAAAAATTGTAAGCAAAGTTTATGTATTTTTGCTTGCGATCTTTTTGATGTTTTTTCCTTCACACATACAAAAACTTTGTTAATATATCAAGCAACGTGGACCAGCTAGTAAGTAATAGAGGCAAATGGTGAAGAAAAATTAATTTAAAAACATCTTAAATTTTATCATTTAAATTCAAAGTGCGTGGTAATGCATTATTTTAACCGATTTTACTGCGCACGTACACATTCGTAAGGGTTGATCGGTAGGCAAAAACGTTGCCCATAAATCAAATTAAATTTGGGATAATTAAACCACCAGCAAATAAAACTAGAAGCTTTATTTACTGGTGTTTTCAAAAACTGCATTAAAGATATATCATTATTTAAAGTTAAGTTTAAAGTTTGGCTGCTCTTAAAAAATTACCCTGTATGCATCATTTTTTCCTACGTCGTGCCTACTACTACTGCTACTACTACTACTACTACGTGGCGTAAAGAAAGCAACGTAGCCATTTTGACATTCTGTCTCGACTTCCGTGTATGAACCCTACTGGTGCGGTGGCGGCGCGCAATGGCGAATCAGCAAAACACGCGAAAAACCGAAAAGTTTCTGCCCTTGTAAGACTTTAAGGAACATTAAACCGCGATTTTTTCCATTACATATTATATACATATGTTTAATTATGACATTAAACAAACGTAAATAATTCTAAATACTTATCTTATACCACTATATTTCATTTAATGTATCGTCACCTGTTTATGTAGTAGTGAAAGACACACTCCTATTAGTAATAATATTAAAACAATAATTCATTAGTGTAAAATAAAATAAATGAAAGTTACAGTCGGTACACGCCTGTTTCGCTGTATCATTTTTGAGAGACATATGAAAGAAATAATCCATCGCTTTGCTCCAGTACGTGGTTGCGATTTTCGCTTGTTTTATCAACCGCCGAAATTATGATAAATCAACACATAAAACTGCAATTAACAATGTCAGCGGGTATCTAACCCGTAATGTGAAATGTACAGAAAAAACTCAGCCGCTTATATAATAATCATTTTTAATTATACCTATATAATCCATTTTATTCTTTCAGCACGGTATCTAATATAGAAGAATCACTTAAGAATGTTTTAGTCCAAGATTTATTATCCAAACAGCCTGCATTTGGGCAAATAAAAATAGATATATCTAGCATAGCAATTAAAAGAGATTTAGAACATACATATCATTCAGAATCATATGTAAAAGAGGCATTAAATGAAAGTATGGCAAGTTATCAACCTAAACAAACATCACACCAAAATGGAAACGATAAAATTTTACAGAGTAGGATTGGTGTTGTTCGTAAAACTACCGTAAAACCTAATCAATCCACTAAGAAAAGAGATCCAGACGAGCCTGATATTGATACTGAAAATATCCCAGTTGTGCAAGGTTCTTTTCAAATTACCAAGACAGAAGCTGACATAACGGAAAATAAACATAGTCATGTTCCAACAAGACGTGATGATAAACTAAATCAAAAGCCTCCAAGTATTAAGTCAAGTACTACACCAAAAGCACCAACTACAAAAATAACAACAACACGGCTACCAAGTAGCAAAAGTACCTTCGCCACCTCAACTACGCCTAAACTTAAACCATTTACAATTATGTCAAATTTAGGGATTAGAACAAAAACCAATTCAACCCATAAACCAGAAACAACATTAACAAGAAAAGCAGTGACAACAACACAATCAACAAAAATGTCAACGACACTGTCAACGACACTGTCAACTACTACCGTCCAAAGTACTACGGCCAACGTTTCACAAATATTACTCGATCTACTTACAAACGACAATCATAATAAAGATTTACCGAAAATTGACACATTATTTACAGTACCACATGTAATTGATACTGAACCTTGGCGTCCTATAACAAGGCCCTACTATGAAACAACGACGACTAAAAATACTGCCATAGTTGATACAGTTAATGAAAAAAGTGCAAAAGACAGAATTGGAGTTGCAGAAGTTGTCGAAGATATATCATTACTAGAAGGTATTTTAAATCCAATTCCCCCAGTACATTACAGTGACAAAACAACGCGTAGGCCAGCTGGTCTTTATAATATGGATACTAATTTATCAGCAGATATTTATGTTCCCAGTCCTGTTTATACCAGTTTCACTCTTCCTACGTTTGCACCGCCATTGAAAGATATGGAAACTCTAGGATCTGTGTATCCAAAACCTTTTCCCTTACCCGTTGACAAAATAAGTTCAGCAAAACAAGATAAGTTTAAAGAAAGTATTGTAGAAAATGATGATGATTATGATGATGGTAAACCAATAATACGGCCTCCAAAGGATAAAACAACGTCTACAATGATAAACGTGTTACAATCGAGTCAGCTAGATAACCTTACAGAAAAAGTATCTATTGACGGCATGTCAATATTGAAGAAACATGACGTAAGGGTACCAACTGTTACAACAACGATGACTCCTGAAGCAAACACCACAAGCTCCACCATGTCTACGACTCCTAGTACAACGACTACCGCTATTACTACTTCAAAAGAAACACTCAGTACTTCTATGAAAACAACGGATACAAATGTTACAAAGGAAAATTCAACTCGACGTCCCAACGATAAAGTATCCATTATTCCTACGACAGATGTTCCATACCATACTTGGGAATTAGTTAATACCTCGACAAACGATAATGATACTTTTTATAAACATTCACCTGAAAAGTATTACAACGATACTTTACAAGCAATTATTACAAAGAATGATGCTACTTTTCCTAATACAACGCCTAAATTTCCAAGTAAGATTTCGATATTAAGAAACTTAACAGACCTAATTAAAAAATATACGAGTACAAAAAAACCGCAAACCACAAACATTGATAAGATAAATAATGATGATGACAACGATGAGCATATAGAAATGACAGGATCTGTAGAAGTAATACCAGAAGAAGAACTTGAAACGACTACAGCCAGAGTAATAACATTAATGCCCGTGAAATCAAACCTCGGTGTAAACAGACCGTTAAGGCCGAGACCAAAGATAAAAAACGAAACACAAATGATGAAAGAAAACTTACGGAGTTTCTTTAATAGTGCATTTCAGACTCAAAAATTAATGGAAGAAATCAATACAGAAAATAAATTACCGATACATAATCGCGTGAATTTTAATGAAGGTATTCATGAAATAGAGACAGCTCCGGATAATCATGGATATGAAACACAAAATCACGAAATAATAGCAAGTATGCCTCAGAATGTGGAACTAAATGACGCCGTGTATAATATTACAACAAACAGTAGATTTCCTAAGTCTAGCAGTGATCTTAAAAATTATAATGAAACCAATGAAAATATGTCTTCAGAAATGAGCAATAATGATAAAACTATTCCGGAAGGCACGTACAGAGTATCTTACCATGTCACTGGAAGTGTTAGCAGTAAACAGGCAAATAAAACTCAAAATCTTCCAGCTTATGAATTAGCATTGGAACCTGATGTGGTCTTAGAAATTCCAATTAATCAATCAAATACTCTTACTATTGATAAATTAAAGCAACTGGCAAGTCTCGCTACGATTACAGAATACAACAACAGCAGTTTATTTCGTCCCTCTGGAGGTGTAATATCAACGAAAGCCATACCATCGAGTTATACGCTCAATCACGCAGGATTTAAAATATTGACAAAAACGTACCATAAAACTCAACCCTTTAAACAAGAAGAGAATAATTTTAACAAATCGGACAAAACTCCCAAGCCATACTCAACGAAACCACAAAAGGAAAAAGAAATAGTTAAAGATACAGTTAAAGAAGGTAAATTTTATTGTTAGGATATAAATTAAATATTTAATTTATGTATTATTATTTATTTATTTCTTTTTTTAGAAGATTGCAATAATGCGACATCCTTCCGCTGTTTAACTGGCTTGTGTTTACCTATTACTTCGAGATGTAATCGCCTAATGGATTGCCCGGGAGGAGAAGATGAACGTGCCTGTTCCTGCGCTGATTACTTAAGAGCAGAGTTCTCTCAAACCAAAATTTGTGACGGTGTTGTAGACTGTTGGGACTATTCTGATGAAAAGAAATGCGGTAAAATAACATTATTTAGAATTTAAGAAATTAATTAAATAATGGTACAAAATAATTTAGAATATAATGTTAACTTTTAGAATGGTGTAATGAAGGTCAATATGTCTGTTCGAATGCACGACAATGCATAGACATGGCCCGCGTCTGTGACGGAACCCCAGATTGCCCTTTTGGTGACGATGAAAAAACCTGTGTTGCTTTGTCTGATGATATTGAAGATAACGAAGTCATACCTTACAATGAAGAAGGTAACGCTAAGTGTTCATATAATATATGTTTACAATAAAGTTAAATTCTTTATATAAATATTTTTAAAAAAAACATGCTATCTCTTAAACTTTATTTCTTATTTGTTCGATCTTATAATAGACAACTTAAAATATTTTCAGGTTTCGTTATGGTGCGAAAACGAGGCGAATGGGGACGCTTATGTGTAGAAAGTTTTGCAGACGTAGTAGCTGAGGCTCACAGTTCTCTGAAATTGCCTGACCTTGGTAAAGCTGTTTGTAAGGCAATGACTTTTAGGTAAGAATTTTTCATCGTATAATATATAGGAAAGATAAAAAATATTGTATCGTTCTTTCATAGACGATTGTAGAACAGTTTCTAGACTTTCGGTATATAATTCAAAATTCGATCACGGCGACAAATTTTGAGCCCTGTCGGATATCTCATAAGATCGGGTGTAGAATCAGGGGAACAGGGAAATTTTCCCTGTGTCCCTGATATTTGATTTTCTTTGAGAGACCTCGAAACCAAGAATTTGTATATGTTTCCATAAAACTCTACACACTCTTGCTGGAATCAATTCAGTAGTCAAATACTTGAAGTAGTGGTCAGAGTATGAGTCACAGTTAGTAAATAGTTCACAAAAAACGTGTTTTTATCCAATAAAATAAAAATTGACAATTTCAGTGAATCCGGATGGGCACGCGAAGCCCGAGAGGGAAGGAGAGTGAGTTCCGCGGGCTATTGGGAGGTGTGGCACAACGCGGCGGCGCGCGCGGCCGACACCCGCCTCACTTTCCGACGCTCCCAGTGCGCGCGACGCAGAGCGCTACGCGTGCGATGCAAAGACCTCGAATGTGGAGTTCGTCCCCACGCTGATGCTCAACAACCTAGGTAATTTTAGTACACAAATTATCCCGTTCGTGTTAGAAATTAGTGTGAGTATGGTACTAGTCATAAAAAAAAATCAATGATAGTCTTAAACTTGGTAGAAGGTAAAAACGTTTAAGATTCACTATATATTCTCAAGGGCTGGACCAATGTCGGTTACATGCAATGATATTTATAAAAAAGGTAGATACGTTACTAGCACGCCAAAACATAAGCGCCGGAAAGTGACCTATTACCTATTAGCCACTCCGGTCCTTGACTAACAAATACGAACATGATTATAACAACATGATTATGACATTAAACAAAAGGACAACAATATATGTTCCATAACTGATGCCATAAGAACACAAAGAGCGAAAGAAAATGTAAGCAAAACATTAGAATATGTATGTGTGCTGCGTCTGGGACGGCCGAGTTCGGTAAGTTTGTAGCTTTAGGCTACATAACGAAAAACAGGAATGTTTAGTGGAAGCCTAATATTGTTTTGTATTGAACGTAACGGCAGCAAATTTCAAGTGCTAGTAGCCAGTATATAACCTTAGTTGGGATAAAGTGTCAGAATTTAGTATTACTTTAAATATTGTGAGAGCGTCTAAAGTGCTAAATATCCGGTACCGGTATCTTTACAGTATTTTACAAGTTTACTCCTGAATATAGGCTTACCCAAAAAGTACCTCAAAACGGTCTTGAACCACCGGCATCTATTGGTTTCTTGCGTGTCTCACTTGGTGGTCACTCCATCTAGTGGCAGCCTACCTACACTCCGCTTACCAGTACGAGCTAGTCACTTGAAAAGCTTTCTTCTCCATCGGTTTGTCAAGCTGTATAGCCGACTCTAAGAGTAATGACTGGCATGTTATCGCAGACGTCCACATTGGTAAAGCTGCTTGCGGCTGATGCCAATGAAAATGTTTGTGTTGGTAAATTGACACGGAGCGGTGCTGGTACGTGTGGCGGTGTGTTGGGTAGGAGTGTAACAGTAGTACGAGCTAGTCACTTGAAAATTTTTCTTCTCCAACTGTTTTTCGCCGTATAGCCGACTCTAAGAGTAATGACTGGCATATTATGAGAGGCAGACGTCCACGTGTGTTGGGTAGGAATGTAACTGACGAGCGCGTGCGGTGGGGCAGGGTGGTGGGCGGCGGCGGCGCGGCGGCGGGCGCCTGGCCGTGGCAGGCGGCGCTCTACCGCGACGGCGACTTCCAGTGCGGCGCCACGCTCATCACTGCGCAGTGGCTGCTCTCCGCCAGCCACTGTTTCTATCAGTGAGTACCTTCCAAATATTTTTAGTTCATTGATGTTAGGATCGACCACTCAGTAAATTGATAAACTTCTTTAATTACTTCATCATTACAAACTATCATTGTCCACTGCTGAACATAGGCCTCCTCAAAGACTGGCTCATAAGGAGGATACTTGCCATAGTTACCACGCTTGGCAGGGTGAGAAACCACAGTTTTTTTGAAATTGTTATAAGGAAAACGCTGCTGTCTATCTCCTGATTTATTTCCCTCTGTCGCCTTTTACGGGACAGTTTAGATGATTACCGCGACTTAATTACTTATCTACCGGTAACAATAATAAAAATATAACCTAAACAAACTCATATTCTTACAAAATGATATAATTACACCTCGACTTCATTACTTATCTACTAGCAACAATAATAAAAATATAACCTAAACAATCTCATACTGTTTCAAAAATGATATTATTACACCGCGACTTAATTACTTATCTACCGGCAACAATAATAAAAATATAACCTAAACAATCTGATACTGTTACAAAAATTATATTATTACACCGCGACTTAATTACTTATCTCATCATCATCATCATCATCATCATTACAGCCCTTCACAAGTCCACTGCTGAACATAGGCCTCCCCCAAAGAATGCCACAAAACACGGTCCTGAGCCACCTGCATCCATCGACTTCCTGCATGTCTTACCAGGTCGTCACTCCATCTCGTAGGGGGACGCCATACACTTCGCCTACCGGTACGAGGCTGCCACTCGAGAACCTTTCTTCCCCATCGGTTGTCGGTTCTTCGAGCTATATGGCCGGCCCACTGCCACTTCAGCTTACTAATCCGTTGGGCTATGTCGGTCACTCTGGTTCTACTGCGGATATCCTCATTCCTAAGTTTATCACGCAGAGAAACTCCGAGCATAGCCCTCTCCATAGCTCGCTGAGCGACCTTGAGCTTCCTCATACGGCCAGCAGTGAAGGACCACGTCTCAGTTCCGTAAGTCATCACTGGCAACACGCACTGGTTGTACCATTTCGTTTTAAGGTTTTGAGGTATGTCTGACGAGAAGATGTGTCGTAGCTTCCCGAACGCTGCCCAGCCGAGTTGAATCCGTCGATTAACCTCTCGGTCGAAGTTGGACTTACCCAGTCGGACTATTTGTCCCAGGTAAACATACTCGTCAACAACTTCGAGCTTAGTGCTCCCAACAACTACCGGCATAGGTGTGACATGGACATTAAACATGATCTTTGTTTTGTCCATGTTCATCTTAAGACCTATCCGTTGGGAAACACTATTGAGGTCATTGAGCATAGTGCTTAGGTCCTCCAGCGATTCTGCCATAAGGACTATATCGTCGGCAAATCGAAGGTGAGTGATGTACTCGCCATTGATGTTGATACCGTATCCTTTCCAGTCCAGAAGCTTGAAAACGTCTTCCAATGCAGCGGTGAAGAGTTTCGGGGATATGACGTCACCCTGTCTTACACCTCTCTGCAATTGGATAGGTTTCGTACTCTGGTTCTGTACTCGGATAGCCATCGTAGCCCTACTGTACAAGCACTTCAACACTTCGATATACTGACAGTCAACTTGGCACCGCTGAAGGGACTGCAGCACCGCCCAAATTTCGACGGAATCAAAGGCTTTCTCATAGTCCACATACGCCAGACATAGTGGCAAATTGTACTCTTCGGACTTCTGTACAACTTGCCGAAGGGTATGTATGTGGTCTATGGTGCTAAAGCCCTTTCGGAAACCGGCTTGTTCGGGAGGCTGGAAGTCGTCAAGTCTGCGCGCGAGACGATTCGTAATGACTCTCGAAAACAGCACGTAGACGCGGCTCAGAAGGGAAATCGGTCTGTAGTTCTTCAAGAGAGCGTTGTCACCTTTCTTGAAAAACAAGACCACCGCACTTCTGCTCCACGCCTCCGGTGTAATGCCACCATGGAGGACGGAATTAAAGAGCTTCTGAAGGACTTCAAGTACCGGTCTTCCACCCGCTTTCAGAAGCTCCGCTGTAATTCCATCCTCGCCTGGGGCCTTACCGTTTTTAAGGTGCTGGAGAGCCATCCTAATCTCGCTCAGACTGACATCCGGGATATCTTCGGAATAGTGTCGGATGAGACTCGCTCTTGGATCGTTACTCAAACTTGCGTGTGGCTCCAACGATGATGTGTACAGCTGCCCATAGAACCTCTCAATCTCACTCAAAATCTCAGGTGTCCCGGAAACGATGCTGCCACATTCTGTCTTCAGCTTTGACAGTTGGCTCTTTCTGGCAGACAGATCTCTGGCAAAGACTTTGGAGCCTTGGTTCCGCTCGATCGCTTCTTCAATACGAGCTGTATTGAAGTTGCGTAAGTCCCGCCGCATGCATTTGGAGATCTGTCTGTTCAGATGCCTGTATGCTGTTAAGTCTGTTGAAGAATGTAGCTTCATCTCCCGCCTAACAGCCATGAGATTAAGAGTGTGATCGGAGAGTTTTTGTGTTCTTCTGCGGCGGGTCTTGCAGAACTTAGCTCCGACCGCATGGACAGTTTCCACGAGCTTGTCATTCATATCGTCCACTTCATTGCAGTCTTCCAGGCACTGAAAACGGTTTTGTAACTCGAGCTGAAAGGTTTCGGGACTTTGGAACAGAGCACGAGGGGGACGGAGCGTTGACTTCATTAGACGAGACCTCTCCAACTTAACGTTTAGGTTCAGTGTGCCTCTAACCATTCGGTGATCGCTACCAGTTTTCACCCTCGCGATCACGGAGACATCACTGAACAGTTGTCGTCTGGTCGTCATAATGAAGTCAATCTCATTTTTTGTGGAACCGTCGGGGCTCGACCAGGTCCACTTCCTGTGGGGCCGCTTCTGGAAGAAAGAGTTCATCATAAAGAGTCCCTCTTTCTCCATGAAGTCGACCAGCTGCTGGCCCCTTGGGTTCCGTTGCCCTATTCCAAATTTCCCTACTTTCAGCTCACCGTTCTCTCTTGTGGCTAGTTTTGCATTGAAGTCTCCCATTAACACCGTATATTGGGTTTTGGAGGAATGCATGGCTCTAGAGATATCCTCATACATTTCCTCCACCTCGTCATCGGGGTGTGCCGAGGTTGGTGCGTAAACCTGTATGACCTTCAGCGAATACCGTTTGGTGATTCTGAGTATAAGGTACGCAACCCTCGTCGACACACTCCCGATCTTTACAACGTTGTTAACGAGAGACTTGTGGACGATAAATCCGACACCTCCTTGGGACAGTTGGTCGCCCTCCCGGTGATAGAGCAAGTTGCCGGATTCGAGGATTACCGTGTCCTCCCCCTCTCTTCGGACTTCGGATAATCCTATAATATGCCAGCGCAACTTGTCTATCTCTTCTTCCAGCTCCACGATCTTCTCGTCAGTCCTCAGGGTGCGTGCGTTGTACGTTGCCAGGTCGAGTCGTCTAAGGTGGCAACCGAACCTCCACCGGAGATTCTTAGCACCCCCTGCCCCGCCGTTACCATGGTCGCCACCGTAGCCAGGAATAGCGGGGCCGCCGGGGACTGGGGGCCGTTTTTTTGTTACTGTCATTCATAGGGGGGTATTTGCCATAGTTGCCACGCTTGGCGAGCGGGTTGGCAACCGCAGTTTTTTATTGTAATTTGGCTATTATCAGGAAGATGCTGCTGCCCATCTCCTGCCTGTTTCCCTTTGTCGCCTTTTACGACACCCACGGGAGGATATGGGGTAGTGGATATTCTTGACCGCCACTACACGGCAAAATTACTTATCTACCGGTAACAATAATAAAAATATAACCTAAACAAACTCATATTGTTACAAAATGATATTATTACACCGCGACTTAATTACTTATCTACCGGTAACAATAATAAAAATATAACCTAAACAAACTCATATTGTTACAAAATGATATTATTACACCGCGACTTAATTACTTATCTACCGGCAACAGTAATTAAAAATATAACTTAAACAAAGTCATATTGTTACAAAAATGATATTATTACACCGCGACTTAATTATTTATCTACCGGCAACAGTAATTAAAAATATAACTTAAACAAAGTCATATTGTTACAAAAATGATATTATTACACCGCGACTGAATTACTTATCTACCGGCAACAATAATAAAAATATAACCTAAACAAACTCATATTGTTACAAAAATGATATTATACAACGCGACTTCGTTACTTATCTAACGGCAACAATAATAAAAATATAACTTAAACAAAGTCATATTGTTACAAAAATGATATTTATTACACTGCGACTTAATTACTTATCTACCGGCAACAATAATAAAATATAATCTAAACAAACTCATATTGTTACAAAAATGGTATTATTACAACGCGAATTAATTACTTATCTACCGGCAACAATAATAAAAAAATAACTTAAACAAAGTCATATTGTTACAAAAATGAAACATACTATCCGCTCTAAAATAAAGAACAAATCTTTAACCTTTTAATTATACAACTATTCTTACATTTCTTTATTATGTTTATTTATTCTAAATAAATAAATTATTTATTTTGCATGGTAGTGTACCGGCAACAGGACGTTTGATAATTCAATCGTCAACCTGCCTCCGTGAATGCAATTTTAAGCTTCCTCCATCATCCGGCACACTTGGGCAATCTACGATTTTCTCTACGAATAGTTCCTTCCACGATCTTAATATTTTGCTTTGCTGTCTACACTCTAAAAAAAGATCTAACATACAAAAATGAATGTTATTTATAGAGCTACAGAAGCGCATTGGGTGGCACGTCTGGGTGCGTTACGTCGAGGGGCGTGGCCGCGCGGGCCGTGGGAACGTGTAGCCCGCGTGCGCCAGCTGGTGTTGCACCCGCGCTACGCGGCGCGTGGATTCCGCAACGACATCGCGCTGCTACGTGTAGAGCCGCTACAGCTACACGCGCGGCTACGGCCCGCCTGCCTGCCGCCGCCCCGCTCCCCGCCACCCGCCGGGCGACACTGCACCGTGGTCGGCTGGGGCCAGCTTTACGAGCACGAGCGTGTCTTTCGTAAGTATAAAATTATATTAGAAAAATAGGAAAGTTTGAGCCCATTACACTCCTGAGCATAGACCTAAACTCATTTCTAAGAGGATTATGGAGTAGCTAATCATCATCATTACAGCCCTTCACAAGTCCACTGCTGAACATAGGCCTCCCCCAAAGAATGCCACAAAGCACGGTCCTGAGCCACCTGCATCCATCGACTTCCTGCATGTCTTACCAGGTCGTCACTCCATCTCGTGGGGGGACGCCCTACACTTCGCCTACCGGTACGAGGCTGCCACTCGAGAACCTTTCTTCCCCATCGGTTGTCGGTTCTTCGAGCTATATGGCCGGCCCACTGCCACTTCAGCTTACTAATCCGTTGGGCTATGTCGGTTACTCTGGTTCTACTGCGGATATCCTCATTCCTAAGTTTATCACGCAGAGAAACTCCGAGCATAGCCCTCTCCATAGCTCGCTGAGCGACCTTGAGCTTCCTCATACGGCCAGCAGTGAAGGACCACGTCTCAGTTCCGTAAGTCACCACTGGCAACACGCACTGGTTGTACAATTTCGTTTTCAGGTTTTGAGGTATGTTTGACGAGAAGATGTGTCGTAGCTTCCCGAACGCTGCCCAGCCGAGTTGAATCCGTCGATTGACCTCTCGGTCGAAGTTGGACTTACCTAGTCGGACTATTTGTCCCAGGTAAACATACTCGTCAACAACTTCGAGCTTAGTGCTCCCAACAACTACCGGCATAGGTGTGACATGGACATTGAACATGATCTTTGTTTTGTCCATGTTCATCTTAAGACCTATCCGTTGGGAAACACTATCGAGGTCATTGAGCATAGTGCTTAGGTCCTCCAGCGATTCTGCCATAAGGACTATATCGTCGGCAAATCGAAGGTGAGTGATGTACTCGCCATTGATGTTGATACCGTATCCTTTCCAGTCCAGAAGCTTGAAAACGTCTTCCAATGCAGCGGTGAAGAGTTTCGGGGATATGACGTCACCCTGTCTTACACCTCTCTGCAATTGGATAGGTTTCGTATTCTGGTTCTGTACTCGGATAGCCATCGTAGCCCTACTGTACAAGCACTTCAACACTTCGATATACCGACAGTCAACTTGGCACCGCTGAATGGACTGCAGCACCGCCCAAATTTCGACGGAATCAAAGGCTTTCTCATAGTCCACATACGCCAGACATAGTGGCAAATTGTACTCTTCGGACTTCTGTACAATTTGCCGAAGGGTATGTATGTGGTCTATGGTGCTAAAGCCCTTTCGGAAACCGGCTTGTTCGGGAGGCTGGAAGTCGTCAAGTCTGCGCGCGAGACGATTCGTAATGACTCTCGAAAACAGCACGTAGACGCGGCTCAGAAGGGAAATCGGTCTGTAGTTCTTCAAGAGAGCGTTGTCACCTTTCTTGAAGAACAAGACCACCGCACTTCTGCTCCACGCCTCCGGTGTAATGCCACCATGGAGGACGGAATTAAAGAGCTTCTGAAGGACTTCAAGTACCGGTCTTCCACCCGCTTTCAGAAGCTCCGCTGTAATTCCATCCTCGCCTGGGGCCTTACCGTTTTTAAGGTGCTGGAGAGCCATTCTAATCTCGCTCAGACTGACGTCCGGGATATCTTCGGAATAGTGTCGGATGAGACTCGCTCTTGGATCGTTACTCACACTTGCGTGTGGCTCCAACGATGACGTGTACAGCTGCCCATAGAACCTCTCAATCTCACTCAAAATCTCAGGTGTCCCGGAAACGATGCTGCCGCATTCTGTCTTCAGCTTTGACAGTTGGCTCTTTCTGGCAGACAGATCTCTGGCAAAGACTTTGGAGCCTTGGTTCCGCTCGATCGCTTCTTCAATACGAGCTGTATTGAAGTTGCGTAAGTCCCGCCGCATGCATTTGGAGATCTGTCTGTTCAGATGCCTGTATGCTGTCAAGTCTGTTGAAGAATGTAGCCTCATCTCCCGTCTAACAGCCATGAGATTAAGAGTGTGATCGGAGAGTTTTTGTGTTCTTCTGCGGCGGGTCTTGCAGAACTTAGCTCCGACCGCATGGACAGTTTCCACGAGCTTGTCATTCATATCGCCCACTTCATTGCAGTCTTCTAGGCACTGAAAACGGTTTTGTAACTCGAGCTGAAAGGTTTCGGGACTTTGGAATAGAGCACGAGGGGGACGGAGCGTTGACTTCATTAGACGAGACCTCTCCAACTTAACGTTTAGGTTCAGTGTGCCTCTAACCATTCGGTGATCGCTACCAGTTTTCACCCTCGCGATCACGGAGACATCACTGAACAGTTGTCGTCTGGTCGTCATAATGAAGTCAATCTCATTTTTTGTGGAACCGTCGGGGCTCGACCAGGTCCACTTCCTGTGGGGCCGCTTCTGGAAGAAAGAGTTCATCATAAAGAGTCCCTCTTTCTCCATGAAGTCGGCCAGCTGCTGGCCCCTTGGGTTCCGTTGCCCTATTCCAAATTTCCCTACTTTCAGCTCACCGTTCTCTCTTGTGCCTAGTTTTGCATTGAAGTCTCCCATTAACACCGTATATTGGGTTTTGGAGGAATGCATGGCTCTAGAGATATCCTCATACATTTCCTCCACCTCCTCATCGGGGTGTGCCGAGGTTGGTGCGTAAACCTGTATGACCTTCAGCGAATACCGTTTGGTGATTCTGAGTATAAGGTACGCAACCCTCGTCGACACACTCCCGATCTTTACAACGTTGTTAACGAGAGACTTGTGGACGATAAATCCGACACCTCCTTGGGACAGATGGTCGCCCTCCCGTTGATAGAACAAGTTGCCGGATTCGAGGATTACCGTGTCCTCCCCCTCTCTTCGGACTTCGGATAACCCTATAATATGCCAGCGCAACTTGTCTATCTCTTCTTCCAGCTCCACGATCTTCTCGTCAGTCCTCAGGGTGCGTGCGTTGTACGTTGCCAGGTCGAGTCGTCTAAGGTGGTAACCGAACCTCCACCGGAGATTCTTAGCACCCCCTGCCCCGCCGTTACCATGGTCGCCACCGTAGCCAGAAATAGCGGGGCCGCCGGGGACTGGGGGCCGTCTCTTTGTTACACTCATAGAGGGGGTATTTGCCATAGTTGCCACGCTTGGCGAGCGGGTTGGCAACCGCAGTTTTTTTATTATAATTTTGGCTATTATCAGGAAGTTGCTGCTGCCCATCTCCTGCCTGTTTCCCTTTGTCGCCTTTTACGACACCCACGGGAGTAGCTAATACTTACATTAAATAGTAACTGGTCCGTCAGACGTATATAATTTGTTAATACCTAGCTTAAATCTGTGTCTTGACAAAATAAATTCCTTCATTCGTCGTTCATCCTAGCAAAAGCACTGCTGATCATATGGAACAGAAAAAAAGTTAGTTCTGTGGCTGAGCATAGGCTTCTCCCAAAGTCTTCCATAGATTGCTTCATAGGAGAAATTTGCCCTAGTTGTCACGATTAGCAACCGTGTTAACAACCACAGTATTTATTATTGAGTTGTTATCAGGAAGATGCTGCTGCCCATCTCCTGTGTAATGACACGTAAAAGGCGACAGAGTGAAATGTCACTCTGTCGCCTTTTACGACACCCACAAGATAATAGGGGCAAATGAAGGGTAGTGGATTCTCACGCCACTATTCCATATAATCCTGTGCTACACGGCTACACGACAATGCAAAATATTGTATGGACATGATCACAATCGGTCAAGTCTTTCAGAAGTTATACACTCACTAACAGAAGTAGCAACGATTTTTATATAATAATAATATACTAGCGCTCCATCCTGGTTTCGCTTGCGTTAATCCGGGATCTCTTAATAATGATTCGTCATTAAGTTTTCTTTAAATGATCATCAATGACCGATTAAACAACTTTTCGACTTTACAAAAAGTACGTTCCAGTTCTTCGGATAAATCATAGCCTAGATCACACCTGGAATCCGTTGTTTCATCACAATCGGTTCAGCCTTTCCGAAGATTAGCAGACAGACAAACAAACAGACAAAAATGTTATAGTAGTTACTGCCTACATACGTCTCACAGCTGGGCACAGACCTCTCATTTCATAGAGGGTTTTAGGCTAGGGAAATGTCCGCCGCGCTGCCCCAATGCGGGTTGGCGAACTTCACAAGTCTTCGTAATATTTTTTTTCTTATTTCTCATTTATGGCTTAATAACATGGAAATAATCTCCCAAGTTCGATAAAAGACAGTTATTTCAATATTACAGACAGATACTTCAATTTTATTTGTATGTATAGATACAGAGGTATTTCAAAAATTTTATTGTAACAGCGGACACGCTGCAAGAAGTGGAGCTGCCAGTGATCTCTACGGCGGAATGTCGGCGGCGCACGCGGCTTCTGCCGCTGTACCGCATCACGGACGACATGTTCTGCGCGGGCTACGAGCGCGGCGGCCGCGACGCTTGCCTCGGCGACTCGGGCGGCCCGCTTATGTGCCAGGTAAGCTTTTCCTTATTTTTCTATAGGAATTCTAACCTATTGCTTTATTTTAAAAACGCTCAAGCATTGTTGAACATACTTCTTCAAGAATTTTTTAAATATTTCCAGACCTAAAACAAAATCACCGTTAAGTTATTCACTTGGAAAACGCAGGATAGTTTTAATTTTATTTTTTCTTATAATTTCTCTTTTATTTAATTTAATTAAGGTCCTCCAGACTGAATGTCGGTCACGGCGGCCAGGCTTAACGGACACTAGCCATCTGCGCATGAAATAATTATAATGCCCTAATGTATGCGCAAGCACAGGTGCATTCTCTATTCCCTCACTCTCATATTCAGATGGGACGGTAATTTGCCACGTCCGGAGAGAGATCAGGCGCACGCTTCACGTGCTTTCCAAGGTACGGGGGTGTAAACCGCCAACTTCCTGACTCCAGGCTACTTCTGAGAATTTCTTGTCAGAAAAATCCAATTTTAACCCGACTCGGGATTCAAACTCGAAGACTTCAAGATCATCAGTCGCGTTTCATCACCACTAAATCAAAGAGGCAGTCATATAATATAACAGTCAGCTTTGCAAAAAAGCACATAGTCAATTTGACAGTAAGCGAATGCTGTGCTCCATAGAAACCTAAATCTAACCTCAGTTCAGGATCAAAATTTGCTGTCACTCCTGGGGGTTAAGAATAACTCATTAGCGTAAAAAAGGTCCCAGGTACTCGTCACTCACCATCCGAAACAAAACATACTGCTACTTTACTCCAAAGTTCTGTGCGAACGACTAAACGTTTCTTCGCCATCTACCTTGTAATATAAATTGCTAGCTTTCATAAACCTGGAGTATCTAGTTTTGGAACGAAGTTTTTTTAGTTTAGTTTTTTTCACCAGTTTTCTTGCAGATCCGAGCATCAAGGTCGTAGTAGATGGTGCATGCTCCGATTACAAGCCCATTAATGCTGGTGTTCCACAAGGCTGCATGCTATCACCAACGCCGTTTCTTTTACATATCAAAGATATATTGCAAACCAATAACATTAATTGCTATGCGGACAACAGCACTGGTGATGCTTTATACACCGGCCGTGCCAATATTTCTCGGGAAAATGTCGCCGAGTACCGGAACAAACTTGTGTCTGAAGTCGAGACTTTGTTGAACAATGTTTCAGACTGGGGTTGACTAAATCTAGTACAGTTCAATCCGAAGAAGACACAAGTTTGCGCGTTTACCGCTAAAAAGAACCCCTTTGTCGTATCTCCTCAGTTTCAAGGCACTCCCCTTGTTGCCTCAGCCAGTATCTGAATCTTCGGTGTCGACATATCGAGTGACGTACAGTTTCATGGTCACTTGGAAGAGAAGGCCAAATTGGCCTCCAAAAGGCTTGGCGTGCTCAGCAGAGCGGGACAGTATTTCATGCCGGCACACCGCTTGCAACTTTACAAGGCGCAGGTTCGGCGTCACATGGAATACTGTTCCCATCTCTGAGCAGGGGCTCCCCAGTGCCAGCTCCTTCCACTTGACCGCATCCAGCGCAGAGCGGCTCGAATCGTCGACGACCGAGTCCTTTCCGATCGGCTCGATTCATTGGCACTGCGAAGAGATGTTGCATCCCTTTGCATTTTCTTTCGCATCTACCACGGGGAGTGCTCTGAGGAATTGTTCGGATTAATCCCAGCCGCCAAATTTCACGAACGCACATCGCGGCAGAACTCCCGATACCATCCACACCATCTGGATGATTGGCGGTCCACCACTGTGCGATTTAGAAGATGTTTTCTTCCTCGCACGACTTCCTTGTGGAATCGGTTACCATCAGCGATTTTTCCGGACCGATACGACTTAGGAACCTTCAAGAAAAGAGCGTACCTACTCCTTTTTAAAAGGCCGGCAACGCATCTGCAATTCCCCTGGGCGGCGGTAGTCACTTACCATCAGGTGAGCCGCATGCTCGTTTGCCCCCTCTCCTATAAAAAAAAAGTTTCTTATTGCACGGTACGAATTTGACGGATAGGGGCTAGGCGAGAAAAAGTGTAAGATATTTCCGTCACGACCCCCTCTTTATAGTGCGATCGAGATGGAATAATATCCATCTCCCCCGCAGTTTTTCTTAACTTGCCATGACGCTTTATTTTAATAGACTCTAGTAATTCATTTATTTGTATTTGTTAATCAATAATATAATACGTTTATCAATAATAATATACTAAGAAAGGAACTTCGTTCCAACCGAGTGTTCCACGACACTCACGCATGTTTCTTTTTTTATACAGGAGGGTGACAAATGGTACATCTACGGTGTTACGAGTAACGGGTACGGATGTGCGCGAGCGAACCGCCCCGGCGTCTACACGAAGGTGTCCAACTACATCGAGTGGATCGACAGCGTCATAAACAAATACACTCCTCATGACAACGATACCACTATACTCAACGAGGACGAGCCTGACGAAGATTTCTATACAGACTTAGAAACAGCGGAAAACAAAAGACAAACATCAATCGACACTTGTAGAGGGTACAGGTGCCCTCTTGGTGAATGCTTGCCCTTATCGAGTGTGTGCAACGGCTTTATAGAATGTTCGGATGGCAGTGACGAATGGAACTGCCATAAAAATTCGTTAAACACTTCTAGCATCGATCCGGATTGAAATTAACATTATAATAACTGAATGTATGTGTTAGCCAGTAATTAATAGTAGATAATTTTTTTTCTGATTCCGACTGATACCTTGTAAGTAGCATTAAGTTTATGAAAAGGCTACAGTTTTCAATAATTTCTCATCTATTTCAATTCTTAAGAAAATTTCTATGCCATACCCAATGTGGGCTTTGTACATATAGTTCTTATTTTATGCCCAACACAAACTCTTTATGATTAGTTTCTAAACATTAAACTATTTAAAATCTATTTATTGCAAATACATGGATAACCTTTTCCGTTTGAAGTGCTTATTATTCAAATGGACGACGTAAGCCATGCACTAAATAAATAAATATAAACTTTTAAGCATACTGTGTTTGATTTATACCTCGTAGTATTTCGTAGCCTTCTGTCATAAACTCGAAACTGAAATTATAAATTAACAATTCTACAATCGCACCCTCTTTTGTGACAAAATACAACAGTGAAAACTACAGAAATATTAAACTAAGAACAAAGTTAAGTAGTAAAGGAAGAAGGAACAACCTACAAACGACGACACAAGAATGTTAAACTAAATTAGTAAATAGTTATAAAATTTTATTTCAGTAAAATTGAGTTCTTAATAATAATAATACTAACACCATAATATGGTGTTATGTGCCGCATCTAGTATGCTAGTACATTTTATCTATGGTAAATTTTGATAAAATTTCAGTGGCCTGGAAACTACACTATTTTCGTCATGGAAATGAATCGCAAAAGACCTTAAGACGCTGTTTGAGCCCTTGTAATTCGTTCTGGTAGTCCTAATGTGTCGCACTTAGGAAAAATTAGATGAAAAATGTAGAATACATTTCTTCGACATCAATTTCAATAAGCAAAATATGCAATGTCAAAAGATGCAAAAATTCTTCTCAATTACTCATAATGACAATGACGTATCTCATCATCAAATCACCAATAATAATGAGGGCTCATAAGCCCCTATAGTAATAATTAAATTTCGTTTTTAAAATAATAATCCTCAAAGTAGCCTGTATTATCCCGCGAAATCCCTCTCACTTTTATTTTTTTAATCTGAGAAATATCTGAAACAGCTCTTACTAAATGCATTTCAATAAAAAATACAATAGCATTATAAATTTAGAAACTATCTGAGATCCAATGAACAGCTAAAACAAGCGTAAAGTGTGAAAAATAATGAGTAACAACTAGACTAGACTATTGGAAAAAGTAATTATATTAAAATAAAAGTCCACGTACCGTAAAAATTATTTAATCTCTCGACAAATAAATTAAAAAAATCTTCATATTAGAATGGCATAATAAATAATTACACTTCCTATTAGCGATGTCACAATGTTACATTATTAAAAACGTTACAAGTTGTTTTATGTATAGCATAAGTAATACGTTTACTTCAACAGGCATAATAATTATTACAATTATTGATTATTAACAAAGCAGGTTCAGTAATTTAACCTCTTGGGAAACGATCACAATGATGTATTATTTAAATAATTATACATAGAAAGTAATACTAGAGTACGCCCATATACGGTCACGTATTTCGGGGTTTTATAGTCACTCTGATAAGTTACAAACAGCCAATATTAGCGAAGAAAATGCAGAGTTTATTATCAAACTCGAGACGTACACACTCCTTAAACTATTCTTAAACATCTAAGTTCCGTACCAAGTGGTACTGCAATTCTTACGATCTGTCCACTGTCAAAATTAAAAAATCAAAACACGAGTGTAAGGAACATGTTTACATTACACATAAAGGCCAGTAAATACTTGAAATACAATTATTTCTACGTCATATTAGATTTATATCTTAAAAGCTAAGATCGAGCGATGTGAGCAAGAAACGAATAAGTTACACTAAAATGATTCACACATCCGGAACGCCTTCCGCTATCCTAGGTGTTTAATTTTAACGTTATTTTGTGCTTACACGATTATAAGGCGGAACGATAGTGAACTAATGTAGAATCAGACCGTGCAAAAATATGTAACAAGTAATCAAAAACGATCCGCCTTTTCAGATAGAACCTAGGTTAGATATTAATTAGGGTTAAGTTCCGGGTGGCGAGCGTCATAGGCTCCGAGTCGCTTTAGCCCTTGTTCTCAACGGGCGATGTGGTGAGACCGGTGGGCGGCTTGTTCAGCACAGTCTTGAACTGCTCCGGTATCGGGTACTCGGACTGGCACAAGAAAACAATCAATAAGTAAACATTTAAATATTATTTCCTGAAATACAATATTGCATTCCATTCTAAAAAAGACTTCGTCGTTTTCCTCAAAAATTATTTAATTCGTTGTTAGAATCAACGAGTTCAATAATGAAGAATAATAAACACATGTTATTATAATAATTCACCTGGAATGTCATTCAGAAATTATCATAATATAGAAACTTTCTTTCTTAAGATAAGTGCCAAAACCACATTTCCAATTACGCATTGTTTATGAGATATAGAAAAAAAACATTTATATCGGTCGTGGTATCTTGTTAAAACAATTTTAAATTTTGTTTCACGAAGCTGCAACTAACGTATTATATATAATTAAATGTAGTAATGAAACAGGAACACTTACATAATCCCCGTTGCCCTTGGGCACGAGCACATTCATCTCGGAGGACTTGGAGCTGACGATCTCGACGTCGAGCGACTCCGGCGACAAGTAAATCTGGCAGCCGTCCGTCTTGTCTATCGAGATGGTAGGTACCTTGCCCAAAACCTGGAGACAGTACAAATTTATGACAAGTTTGTTTTAATTCCTACCGCAGTTTTATGTACAATCTAGTCGGACTGATCACAATTGCGAATTATTAAACATTGATATTTTATCAGATAAAGCAATAATAATTAAACTTTATAAAAATAAAACTGACTTCTAAAAATAATATAACAAGAAAGTCAATGAACGTGGTAAAGAATTGCCATTGAATATAAAAGTAAAAAGTTAGGATGTACAATCGCATAAGAGTTAAAAAACAATTAAAAATGAAAGAATTCAAAGAAGAAAACATTCAAAAGTCAAAACGCTGTCAGGCCAATAAACTTGCGACTTTTTTATAACTGATCAAAATCATAATAATTATTTTATAATGATGTCATGTTAATAAATAAATATAGATGCTATCGTTGTTTATAAAGATTGCAGTCGCGTTGCCATTACTGCACATTAGAAAAATAATGACTGTTGAAGATAAGTCTGTACATGATAGTGAAAAGGTAATCGAAAACACAGCATGGAATTCAACTAAATATTTCGATTGGTTCATAGATAAATATGGAATACCGTATGGACAAAAATGTATCAAACTATTATATACCATTTACACACACGTCACCGTTACGAATTTGGTAAGCAGCTAATTTGAAGGAGCATCTAGTAAACTAAACTATATGGATTTAATTTTATTATAATAATAATAAATAATAATAAATTTATTATAATGACTATATGATAATTAAGTTTCTAGTTTTAGTTTTTTTTTATTATCATAGTTTTTAATATTGTAGATAAAATTAAGTATTAAATGTTGAATATATATCTTATAGTATTATAATAATAAAAATACATTATTTATTATTATATTGCTTTATTAATAATTAAAAAAACTAAAAATAAAATTATCATAATATAGTCCCCTCCCCGTGGTAAAAACTCTGGCTGCGTTTAAACTCGCTGTTTTAGTTTAGTTTATAGTAACGATATAAGTAATTGAATATTTGTTTTATTTTTATAGGCTCTTTTCTTTTTCAAATATGTTTCAACAACAGTCTTCACGTATCGATTTATAAAGAATTTTTACATGTCTTCTCGGGAACGACTCAAACAAAAGCAATTTGATTTTGAGGATTTGCAATTACAAGTAAGGTTTCAAATAGGTAGTTACATACGTTATAAATCAATATTTATAGCTGACGAACAATAAAAATCCACAGGTAAAAATAGTAGAAACTAAGTTGAGCGCGCGAGAAGCGGAGTTTAATGAGAGGACAGAAAAATTGCGGCGGGCGTTAGATCGGCTGAGGAAGGTTAGGACGCGAGTCCGTGAACTAATCGCTGCCAACGACGAATTTCGACGCGCTTTTGAAACTACGCCCTGGGATCTTGACAACACGGAAAACATACCAGGCCAAGGTATAACAAGGATATAAAATAGAACATATAAGATAACATTATTCGTGCTATACATACATATCTTTTTATATGTCTATTTTTCAGGACAGGTTTTCTTTAATATAATTTCTTTAATTCTTAGAGTAAAAAAAAACAACAACATAATATGAAGGTCCCACTGGGCATTGACCTCATTTTTGAGGTTAAGCACAAGGGAAATCTACTGCCCTGCCCCACTACATGTTGGCAGACTTAAAAAGTTCTCAAAATATTTTTAATCTCTCAGACATGCAGGTTTCATTTTGACCTTATTGTGTACCTACTGATGGCATAAGGATATCTAATACCCCATACAACACGTGCCATGCCGTAGTTGCTCAGCGGTTAAACGCTCGCTGTAAATTTAACCGTACGCGAGCAACCCGGGTTTGATCGCCGCCGCCTCCATAGAAATTGTTAATTGGAATTGTAAGTGCTGATTTAGCACTTACTCGGCGGCGAAGGAAAACACCGTAAGGAAACCTGCGTGTCTGAGAAATCCAACACGCAATGGGGTAGCGCGGCGGACATTTTCTAGCCCTAAAGCCCTCTCAAAAATGAAAGCAGGGCTGTGCTTAGCAGTGGGACATATATATATGTATATAGGCTGTAACTTTGACTTCATATTTCTTATAACAACTGGAAATTATTGAAAACTGTGGTTGCCAACTCGCTTCACAATCGTAGCAACCATGGCGAAATCCTTTATATGGGCAACCTATTTGGGAGGTCTATCAAGTTCCTTCCTTCCTTTAAAAGCAAAGAGAGAGAATGAAATATGATTTAGGTTACTACGAAAATGACAAAACTAGAAAACCAGGGTTGTGCCATCCCTACATATATGGTAATATTTTTAAATTGTTTAATGTTACAAGCTTTCCCTATGCTCAGATATACCACATGTTGGATGTCAAGCTCCACTTGTGCTGGTGGAAATCTTGACTAAAATAAGAACTTCAATATGTAGACTGTAAAGTAAATGGTTATATATTGGTTGCTATAACAGAGGTTTATACAGGTATATATATTAGTAAGTATATATATAAATTACGTGTCACATTGTTTGTCCGCGATGAACTCCTAAACTACAGAACTGATTTCAATGAAATTTCGCACACTGTGTGCAGTTTGGTCCAACTTGAGAGATAGGATACTTTTTATCTCGATAAGCGACCTTCAAAATTTTTATTGCGAATTTAAGAATTTTTTAAAGGAAGCGTCGTCGGAAATGGCAGAACAAAGTCTGCCTGGCCAGCTAGTATATATATATATATATATATATATATACACAAACACATACTAGTAAAGTAGCCAACCTTAAATAAATTATTTTTATATTATCTACAGAACAAGAATTCATAATGGAGTTGATGAAGGAATTTAAATGCGAGCAGACAGTGATGTCAGACCGCCAAACAGAGAAGATGGAATGTGGAGAACATGTTCCGTTGGAACCAACAAGCCCGGAGAACAGCGTTTATTCATCTGTCAGTGACTGCCAACAAGACTGCCAGGTTAAGATAGTGAAAGTGACCAACGTGTACAAAGTCGCATATCTTAGACACTTTATCAAACAGAAAAGACTGCGGCGCGCGACAAAACAAGCGCTATTGAAGAAAAAAGTAAGTACTTGTAAATTGTTATAATTTGCATGCTTCATACCAATTCTGTAAATTTTCTTGTAACCTAAACTTAACATGTGAATACAAATGATTGTGTTCACATTTTAAGTTTATGTTACTGTAATACATTACAATGATGTAATGTATTACAATTATCTACACCCTTTCTATGAAGACATTTCCTATTTCAATTTCAATGAAGACATTTTTAAACTATGTTGAGGATTTTACCGCAACATAGTTTAGAATAGTCTTCTAAATATTTTACATTCTGTCCTTGATGAATTTCCCACAAAAATTTCTTTCACCACCGAGTAAAAAAACGCTCATGATGCACTCAAAAATTTTAGCCAGAGCTGAACTTATTCCCGTACTATGGAATGTACGAGACAATTCTCACTCCCTTATGCTTAGATAAACAAAAATTTTAAATTAAGTCCTTGTAACTTCTATTATTACAATATGTGATAAAGCTCCTTCACGTAAAAGTACGTACTACGTACGTTACAAATTAATTAAACGCGTAAGAGGCTATACGAATGTAATTTAATTAATTGACGAGCACCATTTTCTTTATTGCCGTCGAAAATTAAATTTTTCATCAATTATAATCTCCAAATAATCAGTCTCAATTAAGTATTATGCTGTACGTGTGAGTTATATGTGTATATATTATAAATATGTATGAAAATTTTCCTAAGTTTTAATTAATATAATTATCTTTATATTTGTAGATGGAAAATATAAAGAAGATATTAGAAGACTGGCAAAAAACACTCAACATGGTTATTAATAGCAAATTAGCAATACTGGATATGGACCCAAATCGTACAGAAGCGGCGACGCAAGACGCTATAGGTGATTATACTAAACCGCAACTGCGAGAGTATTCTGACTCGGACAGCGATCGGAGCTGGAATCATAACCCTTACCGCAACTGCACCTATTGCTTTGAGGTGAATTGCTCTGTTTTAAGTACATTATATTTTAATCGTTTAGTCTAAGATCTCGAAAAACCTTTGTTCATTTTCTTTTAAAAGACAACAGAAAAACAAACCGAGCAGAGTTTACCTTATCCAGACGTGAAATTATCTTAAGCAGTACACAGTTTTTTAAATTACAAAGAGTAAAATGACATTTCATGTATTGGTAGTTTTAGTAAGTACCTTTGTTGAGTAATATTAAAATTTTATGAAGGACATTTGATATTCTCGTATATATAAAATGTAACGAATGAATCATTAAATACTATGACAACACGCAATATGCAATAAAGCTGTATGTAGTAGCAGTAGTAGGTATATCAAATTTTACGATCACATAACCGGGGTTAGGAACCTATACAATTTCGGGCTTTTTAAATAATAGTATGAGTTCAGAAGGTATCACAGTTGAAATTTAGCTCATTATTTTACAATACTGTCTCCCCTTTTTAGTAAACTTTGCTAAGTAATAAATAAGCTTACCATGAACCTATTGAATGATAGTTAAAACTAGTTCAATCTTTAACTACAGATTACATAGTTATATTTCACTTTTGTGTTTGCAAAGAAACCGTTTCCTAGCCTTTCATCAACAGTTTCTGTTTTATAGAATAAGGGTGACACACAGTCCACGTGATGTTAAGTGGATGCTGTGGCCCATAGACCTACATTTTTATCCTCAATTAACAATCAAAATGTAGATGCATTGTCACCCTTGGGGACTGAGATGGAGTGCCTCGTTTCCAGTAAAAAGGGTATCCGGTTGTCTACACTCTAATTACGAAACACAGCAGCATTGAGCTGATATTTTACGCTGGTATTCTGTGAGATCGTGGTCCTACCCCAGTCGAACCGATCCATTCGTGCTGCAACCACAACATAGCTGCAACATGGTTCTTCCACGTAAAAAAGTTAAAAGTTAAAGTCTTAAATGTATTTTTCTTGTAAAAAAAAAATTGCATATTTTAAAGCAAACCTTTTTAAAATGAGTATTGGCAGGTGCTTAGTACCGAACATTTAGTAGTATCCGTATTTCATGTTTGATCTACGGCGACAGTAGAAATTAAATGACAAATGGCTGGTTTAAATGATTTACTGCTTACTCTGCGACAGAGAAATACGACGTTAAAAATCTGTCTGAATTGGGTCGAAGACATTGATATATTATATCTATATAATGGATATATCAATCAGTTCATTAATATTCTTGTACACCAAATAAACAATTAAAAACAAGCGTTATTTATTGTTCTGAACATGTAAGAAGTCGACAAATGCAGGAAGTCGATGGATGCAGACTTTGAGATTTTTTTTTTGAGCAGATTGAGATTCCTTGTGGGAGGCCTATATGTTCAGTAGTGGACTTGTGAAGGGTTGTAATGATGATGATAATGATTGTTCTGAAACTGATTTGTTCCAACCACCTTTACGCAGAGATCTTTATTGGAGATCCTCTTTACGGGGGACGAGACATTCTTTCTTAGTCCTCAGAGGTGACAACGCATCTACTCGTAACCCTTAATGAAGATGTCAGGTGGAAGATGGTAGGTTATTTAACAGTCCGTAACAACCCACTCCTGGACATGGTCCTCTGTCACGATCTCCTAGCTAATGGAACATAATCGCCCCTGCTTGGTAGGTGAACTGACAATCGCAGGGCGCACCTCTACTGCTGGACCCCGTCGCCGGTCAGTTACCTCTGGTATATTATACGAGATGGTTTTACCCCCATCTATCGGCGGACATAATCATTCTAGCATTTCCTATATGACCCTTTACGACACTCAAGGAACGATATGGATTGATAAATATTCTTAGGCCGACACCACGCGGCTAATATTCAATTGCAACATTTCACGTTTAGGATGTGCCGGACTTAGGAATGTCCCGCGAATTTTACGAGCCAAGTGAATACACGGATATAAAGTGCGAATCGGAGTACGAAGGTAATAGACTGAAATCACCGAGCAAGCTGTTCATAGTCACAGAGGAGACCAGCAGCCAGATAGCTATAGAAGAGGTTAAGAGCGAAGCCGGTGATGACTGGGACTGTCGCGATACGGTCGCAATGTGAACTTTATTTTATAATTTATTACATTTAATAAACTTTTAATAAACATCTTAAATGTAAGTACTTATTTTCCTTCTTCATTGGCCCGTAAAAATCTATTGCTGGACGTGGACCTCTCCCCATCCATACTTCCTTTACAGGCTATAAAAATTTACTGCCAACATATCCCACCCACACACAGTGTGAAGCAGGGTTGCCACGCCTGCCAGGCACGTTAGCAACCGCAGGTTTCATAATTTTAGTCGTTATCAAGAAAATGATGTTGTCCATCTCTAGTTTCACTTTTCCTTCGTCGTCTCTTAAGACACCCACCTCCCCCCATGTAGGGATCAATCGCGTTAACAGTCAGGCTTGGCAGGCAGATTGGCGACTAACGTTGCTGCCCGTCGCCACTTTGTGTATTTTGCGCCTGGCGTAAACGAGATGGTTATACCGCCATTTAACGGAAGCCATGAGGTCTAGCATACGCCGCGCCGTAGTTTAATATACGTCATTTACATTAATGTTTTTTTTTTAATTTAATACGATTTTATGCTAATGGGGCTGAAAATAGAGGCAATCTTCAATACACAAAAATATATATAATGTCTTTTATTTTAGGAGATAAGTATTTACAGGAAACCAAAATTTTGTCCAACCAATACATTTTCCGATATATTGCACGAAATGTGTAGGTACATTTCGTCCAATATATTGCACGAATAACTCTATTTTTTATTTCTTCCAAGCTAAGAGGAACTATTATCCCATCTGAAAGATTTCGTAGTTGTTAGTCAAGTCGCTAATGCAGCCCATGGACACCAACAAGCAATTTCAAATGAACAAGGTTTCAGAATACGTTGACACCTCTAAAGACTAAGGTGGAGAACCTCGCAACCTGCATCCAACCATACTAGTCAATACCCTCATACCAGTATATAGCAGCGGATGGTCTGCTGCTTGGTGGCAGAAAGATGCTAAAGCACCAACCCAGAAAGACACCTATGCAGAAAAAACTTGACGATTATGACAAATCTTACTTTGGGTGAGCCCAAGTAAAAGAGAATATTTATAAGCTAAAAACATTAAGGAGAATTGATCGCCCAGTTAGGAAATGTCTCCAAGTCATAAAGAGCATAAAATGAAGTAAAATATTACTCCGATTACAAGCCTATTAACGCTGGTGTTCCAAAAGGCTGTGTGCTATCACCAACTCTGTTTCTTTTGCATATCAATGATATGTTGCAAACCGGTAACATTCATTGCTAGTGGATGACAGCACTGGTGATGCTCTATATACCGACTGTGCCAATATTTCTCGGGAAAACGTCGCCGAGTACTGGAACAAACTTGTCTGAAGTCGAGTCTTTGCTGAACAAAGTCTCGGATTGGGGGCGACTAAATCTAGTCCAGTTTCAGAAGACACAAGTTTGTGCGTTTACCGCTAAAAAGAACCCTTTTGTCGTATCTCCTCAGTTTCAAGGCACTCCCCTTGTTGCCTCATCCAGTATCGGAATCCTCGGCGTCGACATATCGAGTGACATTCAGTTTCGTGGTCACTTGGAAGAAAAGGTCAAATTGGCCTCTAAACAGCTTGGCGTGCTCAGCAGAGCGGGACAGTACTTTATGTCGGCACACAGCCTGCAACTTTATAAGGCGCAGGTTCGACCTCTCATGTAATACTGTTCCTATCTCTGGGCTAGGGCTCCTCAGTGCCAGTTCCTTCCACTTGAACGCATCCAACGCAGAGCGGCTCAATCGTCAACGACCGAGTCCTTACCGATCAGCGCGATTCACTGGCGCTACGAAGAGATGTTGCATCTCTTTGCATTTACTTTCGCATTTACCATGGGGAGTGAGGAATTTTTTGGATTAATTTCAGCCGCCAAATTTCACGTACGCACATCGCGGCAAAATTCCCGATACCATCCACACCACCTGGATGCTTAGCGGTCCACCATTGTACGTTTTACTAAGATTTTTCTTCAGTGTACGACCTCTTTGTGGAATAGCTTACCACCGGCGATTTTTCCGGACCGATACGACTTAGGAACCTTCTAAAAGGTTACTCTTTTCTAAAAGGCCGGCATCGCACCTCCAATTACCCTGGTGTAGGAGTAGTTCATGGGCGGCGTTAGTCACTTACCATCAGATGAGCCATATGCCCGTTTGCCCCCTCTCCTATTTAAAAAAAAAATTGCTATCGGACAAAACGATCCAAGAGCGAGTCTTATCCGACATTATTCCGATGATATCCCGGACGTCAGTCTGAGCGAGATTAGAATGGCTCTCCAGCACCTTAAAAACGGCAAGGCCCCAGGCGAGGATGGAATTACAGCGGAGCTTCTGCAAGCGGGTGGAAAACCGGTACTTGAAGTCCTTCAGAAGCTCTTTAATTCCGTCCTCCATGGTGGCATTACACCGGAGGCGTGGAGCAGAAGTGCGGTGGTCTTGTTCTTCAAGAAAGGCGACAACGCTCTCTTGAAGAACTACAGACCGATTTCCCTTCTGAGCCGCGTCTACGTGCTGTTTTCGAGAGTCATTACGAATCGTCTCGCGCGCAGACTTGACGACTTCCAGCCTCCCGAACAAGCTGGTTTCCGAAAAGGCTTTAGCACCATAGACCACATACATACCCTTCGGCAAATTGTACAGAAGTCCGAGGAGTACAATTTGCCACTATGTCTGGCGTATGTGGACTATGAGAAAGCCTTTGATTCCGTCGAAATTTGGGCGGTGCTGCAGTCCCTTCAGCGATGCCAAGTTGACTGTCGGTATATCGAAGTGTTGAAGTGCTTGTACAGTAGGGCTACGATGGCTATCCGAGTACAGAACCAGAGTACGAAACCTATCCAATTGCAGAGAGGTGTAAGACAGGGTGACGTCATATCCCCGAAACTCTTTACCGCTGCATTGGAAGATGTTTTCAAGCTTCTGGACTGGAAAGGATACGGTATCAACATCAATGGCGAGTACATCACTCACCTTCGATTTGCCGACGATATAGTCCTTATGGCAGAATCGCTGGAGGACCTAAGCACTATGCTCAATGACCTCAATAGTGTTTCCCAACGGATAGGTCTTAAGATGAACATGGACAAAACAAAGATCATGTTTAGTGTCCATGTCACACCTATGCCGGTAGTTGTTGGGAACACTAAGCTCGAAGTTGTTGACGAGTATGTTTACCTGGGACAAATAGTCCGACTAGGTAAGTCCAACTTCAACCGAGAGGTCAATCGACGGATTCAACTCGGTTGGGCAGCGTTCGGGAAATTACGGCACATCTTCTCGTCAGGTATATCTCAAAACTTGAAAACGAGACTGTACACCCAGTGCGTGTTGCCAGTGATGACATACGGAACTGAGACGTGGTCCTTCACTGCTGGCCGGATGAGGAAGCTCAAGGTCGCTCAGCGAGCTATGGAGAGGGCTATGCTCGGAGTTTCTCTGCGTGATAAACTCAGAAATGAGGATATCCGCAGTAGAACTAGAGTGACCGACATAGCCCAACGGATTAGTAAGCTGAAGTGGCAATGGGCCGGCCATATAGCTCGAAGAACCGACAACCGATGGGGAAGAAAGGTTCTCGAGTGGCAGCCTCGTACCGGCAGGCGAAGTGTAGGGCGTCCCCCCACTAGATGGAGTGACGACTTGGTAAGATATGCAGGAAGTCGATGGATGCAGGTGGCTCAGGACCGTGCTTTGTGGCATTCTTTGGGGGAGGCCTATGTTCAGCAGTGGACTTGTGAAGGGCTGTAATGATGATGATGATGATGATGATCGGACAAAAACATAAAATTTCCTCGATTTTTTTCTTAGTTAAGGACTTGTTAAGAACAGTAATGATACTATTATATATACATAAGCGTCCCGAAATGCAAGAAAACAGAGTGCTGAGCCACTTGAACATCACCTCATCCAGTGGGGTGCCATTCTAGACGTTGACGTTTTATATCCTCGTAAGGCCCAGCGCGAAAATTAACTGCTTCTCATTTCAGCCCACGGTCCCCTTTATGGTACTTTTTTTTTATAGTGGTTCAGGCCCAGCACTAAATTTGTAATTTTTTTACAGTACGATAGTTTTATAGCAATATATGTTTAAGGGTGTATAATTTATGATATTTAGAAGCCCTGCACATATGTTTGGTTTCAATTGAATAAGTCCCACCTAAGGTACCATGGGTCGCAATGTAGTGTGGACTTTTTTTCGTGTACCAGAATTTGCATAAGTGAAATAAGCATGTTTTTGCATATTTTTTATTTATAATGATTTCACTTAATCAAAATAAAACAATAAATGTTATTTTTAAGTGAAAAGTAAAGTACTTTTTTTTTTTATAGGATAAGGGTGACAAACGAGCACACAGTCCACCTGATGGTAAGTGGTTGCTGCGGCCCATAGACATCTACATCTATCCTCTATTAGAAATCAAAATGTAGATGCGTTGTCACCCGTGAGGACTAAGATGGAATGCCTCATTTCCAGTAAAAAGGGCCTCCGGCCACCTGCACTCACCAAGCGAAACGCAGAGGTAAACCTCTACTTCACGCTGGTTTTCTGTGAGGTCGTGGTACCACCCCGGTTCGAGCCGGCCCATCCGTGCGACAGCAAAAGCTGCCGCGTGGCTCTACCACTGTTGAAAAAAAAGTATCTTCAACTTTTGAAAGTAAACAAGAATTAGAAATCTTTCATTTTAGTTATTTAAACTTTTTTATAGAAAGTTCTTAAGCAGCATCTAATATAGGAATATCTAAACAAAGAAATTAAGGCTTACTTAAACAATAATCAAAACAAGGCACATTATAATCAGTCTTTATTAATAGTAAGTCTTTATAAATGAAATGTAATTTCTCTTAGAAGTATAAAATTAAAAAAGAAATTAGGAGTGGAAATCTTTGAAACAATTTCTTTCTTTTCGTAAACATAAATAGATGTTACACTTCGTGCATTTTACGGTGGTCTTCATTATATGGCAGTGTCTACATTTGTTTCGAGTATCCATCATTTGCGGCATATGTCG